GTCCTTTCATGGCCGATAAAGTGCATTAAATCCCTGCTTCTGCCCGCATTCTGCATTATTCAAACATGGACCCTGCTCTGACATGCCTGCGAGGATATTTTGGGATCTCGCCTGTTTGGGTCATCGGCCGCGTGCGTCCATTGTGTGCAGCAGATGAACGTCTATTTTGGCTTTGATAGATTGCAGTCTGGCAATACCGGTAGTCCCATCTGAAGCTTAAGTGAACTTTTTTTTTTTTTACCTCTTTCAAGCCCGGTCAGTGGACGGTCAAATGGCCGTGTGTGGCTGGTGATTGTATGGCAAGCCATGTTGCCATATAATTAGATCGTCAGCCGCGCGCGTCCACTGACACAATCAAAAGCCAGACACTGACCCAGACTGCCCATACAGCATATTATGATGGCTCAGCCCGGCCCAAATTCGAGTTGGACCGGGCTGGAAATGACAGCTCTAGCGATAAGGCAGCCAACTTGGGATCAGAAAGTAGCAGGTTCAACTCCCTGCCATGCTCATATGTCTGTCCCAGAGCAAGACATCCAATCCCTAATTTGCTCCCCGGGTGCTTACATAGCTGCACACTGCTCCACCTGGGTGCATCTGACATGTGATGGGTTAAATTCAGAGAACTCATTTCATCATTGAATAGAAACATGCAATGATGACAATACATAACACTTTTTTTTTTGATGTTCAAAAAATGTTTTTTATTTGATTTTATATTTTGTTACACCAAAATGTTGTGCTAATTATGAATGCATGCTGTTTTTAATAGGGTATACTTTCAAGTATAGTGTAGTTATATTTTACACTTTGAAATAAATGACACTTTCATGTCTTCAAGGTCTATAAGCTCAAACCCACAGATGTTTGAAGAGATGCTGTGGATAAATTAACATCAAAAGACTCGAGCAAATCCCTCCCAAGTCCCCGTAAAGAACAGTCGGCTACATTAAAGTAAGGAGTCTGAAAAAAAAAAAAAAAATCGCAAGGAAGTTGCTAATAAATTCTAGCAGCATTTACCTACTTTTACAACCATCTAAATCTTTATGGATTTTCTTTGCTGTTTTGTAATATAAAGTGTGAAAATCTCAACGCACAGCATGTTAGAATATCATGCATCATTTTTTTGTCGTTTCAAATTATATCACATTCATCACAAAATATATATCAAAGAAGGTGATTCATCATAACGCAACATGCAGTGTGCAGCAGTTTCTCTCAGATTAAAGTGACTATAAGTATCTTTAAGCCATTGAAAATGTGATTCATAGTCTGTTATTGACTGGTAGACAACCACAGCTGAAAAATCGACTGATGTATGTTTGTGTAGCAGAGCTTAGTGGAATATCTGCAAAAGAAAATACAACTTTAAAGGGGAAGAATAGTGCAAAGAACTTAAGACAATAAGTTTATGTATCTAGTTTTCAAGTGTCATGATACCATCTATGTTTAGTGTTAAATATTCCAACAACCCAAACAGAACTCATGAAGTATAAATACTTATTGTGTGTTTGTGTGAATACATGGGGAGCGCTCTATACCAGAGATGAGTGATAGTGTTTCCCCGTAAGCCCGTCGAGGCCATGCATTCCTCTCATCGCCAGTGTGTGATGTGTGCAGCCTTTCAGCTAATCTGGGAAGAATGTTGGTTTCAGACGCACATGTGTTCCATTAAGTCCAGGTCTGTGTAAATAATATAACATGCAACAGCTTACATTACAGCAGGTAACTGTACCCCCACAGCTGTGCCCTGTAACCACCCAGCCCATAAAAAAAGGAAAGAAAGCCAATCCTGATATTTAATGAGCTAACGTATTGCAGTGCCTTGTGTGCTTTTAACAAGCTGCTGGTTTGTACTAAATGTGTTGTTAAGATAATTGTTGTTTATTAAAAAATAGAGGTTGACATCCTGGGTATCAAGAGTAATACAATTTTAAAACCAGCACACCAGCCCATTTTATTCCATAATTTTTGTGTTTATTTGCATAAACACACAACATAAAATGAATGCATGCAATTAAAACGTGGATTAGATACACTGCAGACAAGCAATAAACTCTACTTTATTTTTAACTTCATAATAAAAAGAGCAACAAATCTTAATCATATGCAATAATAGACGATCAAGGATTTATTATATATATATATATATATATATATATACACACATTTAAAGTTTAATAAATATCTCAAGTCTCCATAAATTGTCATAAAAGGCATTCGCTTTTCTTCTTCTCCCAGTCTTAAACTGCCATGTGCATGTTTGTTTCTTCAGACTAATAAAAGAATGTCACATGACTGCAGTGGGACAAGAATGTACATCCCTCCTTCTATTGTTAGGCTCTACATCCAGACAAATCTCATTGGTCTTTTTGTGTTCATCATCATCCTGCTCTGCTTACACTGATTGGCTCATGGCCTGCTGGTTGGAAGGACAATGTTTGCTTTTGCTGTCTGCCTGGGGAAGTTCCTCTTCTCAAACAGACCTAGATGTAGATACAGTAAGTAACACAAAGTCCAGAGGATGCCAACCTCAAGTCCTGCATCTTTCTGCTAAGCTCATTAAAAGTTTGTTGGAAAATTGCTTTAATGCGCCTGTTTATTTACTTTCATATGGCTCTTATTTAGAGTGAAAGCAGCTAGCGAAGACAGCATTCTGCTCTATTTTGGTTCGAACTAGACTGTGGGTGTGCAGAACTAAGAAAAGAACCTGAGTTCGGCTCAGCGTGATGCAAACGGCTGGGAGCGGTTGGTTCTTGGTCAAAATATTACAGAAACCAAGCCAAAAAGTGAAATGGAGGTGATAAGGGTGAGAGCAACTAAAAACAAAAGAAAGGTGTCAGAGAACAAGTGTAGTGCACACTTGTTCACAGTTGCACTTGTAAACTGTTGTGAGCCAGCAAGGAAATGTGAGGAGTTTGGTTGTTGCGGTTCTGAGTGCCAGCGCTCCTAATGACTCTGTCAGGGCTAGTTAGCACAGCCCGGCCCGCTTGTGTCCCCTCCAGGCTGCAGACAGCTGTTATTAGCCCCATAATGCTGCATGCCACAAGGCTAGATTAGCCTGGCACACTGACGAAATATCAAACATTCACTTTACTGTGGCTCCTCTGCTGGTTGAAGCAGCTATTCTGTGAGCAATTCATTTAGTGGAGGTTCTCACAAAGAACCTAACAAGACCAAAATTTATTTTTTTTTAATCACCAGAGAAAGATGGAGTTTGTGTACAGTGTGCAAGGCAAAGACGAATGCCTTAATACTTGGGTTTAAAATTCAGCACATAAGATTAAATGTAGGATTTACTTTTTTAAAGAATCATACATTAGTTAATGTTTAAATAGTTAACTGGAAAAAAAAAATCACCGTATTGTTTTTTAATCATTTCTTGTTAAAAATTGCAGCATTAACTTTAATAATGCTGTGTCATCATTATCCAACTCGTATCGACAAGATGGTCACTGCTGCCCACGTCTTTAAAAATATCATTAAAAGCACTGGAATTCAAAACACTGCAGAGCAAGTATTCTCACTTTAGTTTGCCTGCATTGAGCAGGGTATGTAAAAAATACATACACCATTGCATTTTCATAAACATCAATCTTTAAAAAACATGCTTCTTGTTTGGTGTAAATCGTGATCTTTCAGCTCGCTTTTTCTCAAATGTGCTTCCTGCATGGTAAGTTAGACAAGCTGTGCGAGTTTGCAGATGTGTGTTTGTATAATTCTACTGTAAAAGCTGCAGATTCATTTGTGCACTAGATACGTGTTCGCCTGCATCATGTGACTAATCAGAAGTAAAAGGCTGGGTCTAGAAAGAATTGGCTCAGGGCTGTTCTTTCACTTTGCTGTTAAATATAGTCAAACACTTTAATCTGATGCCTCACCCTTTGATGTTCTTTTTGAATGTGTGGTTTTATGTTGCTGGCATTTTTTTGTGTGATTTTTTAGTTTACAGTGAGGTGATAAAATAAATGTTACAAATGAAAGACAATAGGCAAAGAAAATCATTTATCAAATACTATTTGTTCATCACTGACCAGTTTGTCTCTCTTCTTTAATTACATCATAACTTCATTAACATTCTGAATTGACCAAATCTATAAAGCAGGGAACAACCCAAATGTTAATTCATGTTTGAATTTCTTTATGCTGATCCCACATTATTCCTTAGAATTAAAAAAAAAAAAGAAAAAAAGAAGGTAAAACTGAACCACAAGAGGAAAAGATGTGCCAGTTAACATTCTCATAAAGGGACATTTTGCAAACAAGCTGACTGAAACGTGACAAGTGTTGAACAGGAGAGAAGAGCAACATTAATGTGAGAATAACTGAAGGAGTCAGAGAAAGTGAGGTGCTCAGATAATGACAAAGGACGTGATGAAGGCAGTGAGATCTGAAATGGATCCCGTGAGCTACTCATGCTGTGGTGGTGGTCCTTGGTGTCAGCCCCGCTGAGCAACCATGTCCTTCCCTGGCAGGAAACATATTTTGTGTATCATTAGCTTCCCAACTACAAGGACTTTGTGCCAATTCTTGAAGTTGCTGCTGAAACCCACATGTGGAAGTGCATGGAGGCGCTGGGAGGCTTGCTACCTTCTAAACTCAAATTGTGGGTTGTGCAATGTAGCCAACAATTGGGGTGAATCGAGAGGAGCAGTGCATAGGAACCCCAGCTACTAAACACAACAGCTTAGTGCCATTAGTGCCGCTGCATGAGCCACTCCTGTGCAGTTATTATGTCTGGCCCACCACCATGAGCTGATAGGATTTAACATGGCAGCCAGCGTGCAGGCTTTGTGACCTGGTGGAAAATTATAAAACCTCATAAACAACAGAAACAGGGTGGAACAATGCTGCTTTAGTGATAAAAGAGTCTCAAATAAGTTTGGAAAATAGTTTCAAATCTGGAACTTGCCATTGAGATTGTACTGGTGTATTTTATTAATATAATTATTTGTACAAAGTGAAGTAATCTGCTTGTTGTTCTCTTTCTGCCTCTCCAGAGCAGATTCAGCGCTGCAGATCGAGGAGTAAGGCTCTACAGTTCTCTGCCCATGCGCCCTAACCCTGATGGAAAGAGACTGCCCTCTACTGGGGTAAGAATCATCTCTTGCACCCCCACCCCATGCACCCAGTTTACCCTGCACCCAGTTTACCCTGCACCCTCACCATTCTCTTTCATGTATAACTCAATGCCATATTTAATGCACACAGCATGCCACTGAGGAGGACTTGTTTTTCACTGACACAGCAAGGTGGTCTTACGGTAGCAGAGGAGAACAGTTTAACAGTTGTTCAAAAACTTCAACATTCATAATTGGAAATTCTTGATACGTATCAGGAAGTTTCTGCTTCAAAACCACTTCAGTTCAATTCTGTTTATTTGTATAGCACCAAGTCACAACAGAAATCATCTCAGGGCACTGAACAGTTCATTCATATATAAAAATAATAATTTAACAGTATTTATGTGAGGAGCAGACTGCTTTGAGTTTAACTCCATCGCAGAACTCTCATCTTGAGCAAGCATGAAGGCGACAGTGGAAAGGAAAAACTCCCTCATGAGGAAGAAACTTTTAGCAGAACCAGGCTCAGGACAAGCGACCATCTGCTTCGACCGGCTGGGTTTGAGAGGAACAGGAAGGAGGAACAGATACACAATGGCAGGTCCAGAATCACATGTTAACATAGAACTAATATCAAATGAAAACTATTCAATTTTAACAATTCATTTAAGGAAATGAGGTCAATTTGTCCTCCACTAGTCTAAGTCCATGGCAGCATAACAAGCCAACCCTAACTATAGGATTTATCTAAAAGGAAAGTCTTAAAACTGGACAATGTGTCAGCCTTATGGACAGAAACTGGAACCACTGAAATATCAACCAGGACAACACAACTTAGTACAAACGCAACATCCTCCCAGCATGGCATCTTACCGAAAACCTAAATTCCAGCTTCACCACTAACTAAACCCATGACTTTGCCCACACTCACTCTGACAGACGGGCTCCACCAGTCCATGACTCGCTAGGCCAGTGGTCTTAATGAAGCATCCACCTGACGGTGGTTTTTGTGGTATCCCCCTTGTAGCCTCTCAGTGGTAAGGTGCAGGTGCAGGTGCAGGCCAGCCAACGGTCTCCTGCTGCTTTCACACAAAGTCATGTCGTGACTTTTTGAATAAGATGCTACTGTTTCAGATTATTTCTTAAGAAATGTCTATAATTCCTATTTAACATTTTCTGGGACTTATCCCATTTTCACCTACATTGTTTTTGGTTAAGAAGATGTTTTCAAACATCAAAGTCTCATTTTCACTTATTTTAACACCCACGTGTTCACATGGATGCTTAGAAAAGAAAAGTGATTAAGTTTATTGAAGTTGCAGCTCTTTGACTTTGACAAAGTGCTGGAGCAGTTGGCCGCTTTTGTTTTTGAAACCTCTTTTCTTTTTTCTTTTTTTTTTAAATATATGAAAAAAGTTTTAGCGTTGTAAAAAAAAAAAAATCATAATTAGAATCTAACTCGCCTTGCTTTTATGCATTTATGTAACAAAGAAGAGAAAATGAGGGAACAATAGAGAGAGAGAGAAAAGGGAGAATTTAATTTCCCTCTTTTTCATGTTTCACTCCATGCAAGTGCTTTTTGAATTATCTCTTCGGTGCTCCGGGGCTCAACGAGAAGAAGAGTGAGTGAGTTGGGGGGGGAGGGGAGAATAGAGAGACAGGCAAAGTTAAAACAAAGCAACGTAATATTGTTGGTGTGCACCTTTTTTAATTACAACAGAGATGGTATTGATGTCTCCGGCCACATGTTGTAAATCATTTATCAAGGGGGAGGGAGTGCTAACAAAGCATTTCTAAGGAAGCCATCCCCTCACACGGCCTGGAATCATACGTTATCTAAAGTGAATATTGGAGAGACCCACTTACAAATCATGAGAATGAGTTCCTCGTCAGGACATGTGTGAGGTAGTACTGATATATTTCTACTGTCGTCTGATCCAGTCTTGTGTAAATCGAGCTCTTTGTCCAAATTTAGTTGCAGAAGTTATCGTCAAAACGAATTTACAGGCAAACATGTGTGCAAAAGTGTCTTAGCTGCCTGTGTTACTGCGCAGCAGCACCTTAAAGATGATATCTTTTGTGCAGATTCACAAAAGGAGACAATACATGCTATTTTTTGTCCCCCCCCCCCACACACACAAACCCTCTTTGTTATCTGTCATTTCCTTTTGTCTGTTATTACCCGAGTGTAAAGTGTGTACAGTAGCAGGCTGCATGGAGAGGAGGAGAATATGAACCACTTAACATGCACGAGGAAACCAGACGTTTTTCCATTGCACTTATCAGGTGCTGCGGTGAGAGCAAGTGTCAAGGTGCAGAAGGTCCCTGCACACCCCACCCCCCCCATCCCTTCCCCTCTCTCACCCATCCTCTCCTTCCTACCCTCTTCCTTCCCCTGCACACCCCTTTTATTTTCCCCTGATCTCTATCTCTGTACCTCCCCCTCCCTCCCCTCCCCTCCACCACTTGCCACGCTCAGTTCAGTTAAAAGTGGGCTTGGCACTTCCGCAGCAGCCCCCAACCCCCACCCCTTCTTCTTCACCACCAACACCACTTCTTTTTTCTCTGTCAAACTAACCTCCAACTCCTTCTTTTCACCTCTGTGCTTCCTGTCAAGGTGCACTGCTCACCTCCAGCCCCCGCCGCCCCCCACCCCAAACCTCCAGCTCTGCTTCCGCAACCTCTTCGTTGTTTTCTCTTTTATCATTATTACAGAGCTAAGTGTCTACACTTCATTTTCTAAAATGCTCAGTGTATGGGCGTAGGGGGGCGGGGGGGGGGGGGGGATGAACTGCACGGGTAAACAATGTCACTTGTAGATAAACAAATGTTTTTGTTGTTGTTTTTTTTTTCAGCTGCTCCCTTCTGCAGAGGTCGCTGCGTTTTTCTTATGCGTACGATTTACAACTTTTTAACTTGTCTTCTTGTTTTTCTTTAATATTTATTCCCAGCCACTTAAATCCATGCACATTGTCTAGATAGCTGGTTTTGTTTGCTCCAAACTAATTAATGAAAACTGGACTCATTCACTTTTTCTGTTTAAAGAGTCTGAATACATTGAAACATTTGACTGACAATCAAATTGAAACAAAACAAAAGAAAAAAATACACTTTTGACTATTTTAATACTTTGAACACAACAAAGGGTATTCGACACAGGCACAGCCTGATTGATGCTTTTTACTGTCGACATGTAATGTTGATTTTAAGGTGCAGAGAAACAATTTTCACTATATAATTGTATGCTATTTTGCCAGAAACTATATAAAGTAAGGATTCTAAATCACCAAACCCCACCAAAATATATTTCAGTTTCTTAAAAGCTTAATTATGAGTTCATTTAGAAGTGTGTGTTGTATACATCCTTGTCCTTGCAGGCCTCTGCTGGCAGCCTGCTGAGGATCGGAGCGTTCCACCACCACATACAGATGTGTGGATAAATGTGAAACCTCTGGCTGACACTCAAAGTTTGACAACATATTTTAGATAAAATCTTCATATATTGTGTCTGGCTACAGACAGACTTTGTTCTAAACAAACAGGCCAGAAAAAACTACAACATATTGTAATAGTTTTGAATTATTTTGGATATTTTATGAAGGACAGCTGACAGATGTCAATATGGCATCTTTAAGATAAACTGAACTGGAATAAAATAAAAGCTAAAACATTGAGTAATTTAAATGATGCACAATAACTTTATACCTGCTTAATCAGGGCTATTGTGTGAAGCATTCACTTTATTGTGATCCATTTCTCTTCTGTACATTTTTCAGCGCAATTCTCATACTACAGTTTTCAAGCTATTTCAATAAATCATAAATCAAAACGTTCAGCTCCTCCAGGACGATCCAGCTATGGCTTGATATTGGTGCAACTTTAGCTTTTTTGAAATGTTTAGCCTTTTCTGCCATTTTTTTTCCTGATAGAAAATGAATTGAGCTAATTTTTTATCCTTCATATCTTTAGATCTGTTTACAACTTTTTCCTGCTACTTTCATATTTTTCCTGGTTCAGCTTTTTTCAGCTTCCTTGTGTAAATTAAAAAAAAAATTCAGCTATTTTCAGCTAAATTCAGCTGTTTTCTTCAGCTATTTTGTTCTCCTTTCAGGTCTTTTCTGCTAACTACATTTTTTTGTGCTAACTTCTTTCTGCTTATTTCAGCTTGTTATGCTCCTTTCAGCCTATTTCTGCAAGTTTCAGCTTTTTCTGCTATTTCAGCTACCGTACTATTTAGCAGTTTTTTTTATGCTAATTTTAACTTTTTCAGCTAATTCCACATTTTTGGAATGCATTTAAACTTTATTCAGCCTAATTCAGCAATAATGTACTCCCTCCACTTCTTAATTTAAGCTTCTTTCTGCTTTTTTTGCTACTATTCAGCTGTTGTTTTTTTTTTTTTTTCCAGATTTCTGCCTTTTTTTTTTAATGATTTTCACTTTTTTTTTACTCAGATTTGCTTATTTAAGCCTATTTGGGTACGCTTGTGCTCTCTCCACTTCCTTCTCATAGTTTTAGCTTCTTTTTGCCTTTTCAGCTATTTTTGCTAATTTCAGCTTTATTATCTAATTTACTAATTTTTGTGCTGATTTCTGCTTATTTACACCAAATTCAATAAAAGTGTGTTTTTTCTTCTGCTAACTAATGCTTGTTCTTCCTGCTACATTTCAGCATGCTTTTTGTTTTTTAGCTAATTTCAGCCGTTTTTAAGCAAGTTCTTCAGCAATAAGCATTCACACTGCATTTTCACAGGAAAATCTTTGTCTGTAGTTTTAGAGTGGGTTAGATTCTTTGTTAGAAGGTTTCAGCTGCTGTATCTCTTGTTGTTTTGTTTTTTACCTCCTGTTTTGACTTCAGTGCAGAGGACGAAGGTTCAGAGTTTGCTGGTACACAAAGATGACAGGATTGTTTCAGGACTGATTTTTTATTTTTTTTTCCATCTCTCACCCTCTCTGCTGCTTTGTCTCTCTCTGTCTTTTTCTCCGTCTCCAAGCTGATTTGGAGCCTTGCATAGTCAATTATGTAGGGAG